ATGTGTGTTTTTCAAGTCATCTCCAGGTAATATGTGGGAAAATTCAGGAATAAAATATTATGGAATATAAATTTGCTCTGGAGTGTGACGCACTAACGTTTGAACTAATTATGTGCTGTATGCAATTTGACCAATGTTTATATGTGAATAAATGCGTAAATTAAAATCTGTTTAACATATAAAAAGGCCGATCATGACTTGTAGAAGACTTTAGTATAACACTTAAGGTGACATTTTCCAACCCTTGTTATCCTTAGGAAAATGACAGTTAAGGGGCTTTATGCAACACTTATTGGGTTTAAGGGATACTTAAGATAAATTCTAAGGGTTTATGACGTTTCACCTAAAGAAACTCTTAAGTAACATGTAAGGGATATTTTATGCAACGCCCTTAGGTGTAAGGGAAACTTAAGGGCGATCTTAAGGGAAAATTACACTTAAGGTGCTTTATGCAAGATCCTAGAAAGGAAAAAGTAATTCAGAAAGCAGCTTAACCCTTAAAAGAGGTCTTAAGGTCCAAAATTGTTAGGAGTACGGACGAGGACTTTTAAGAGTCTTAAGAGTTTCTTTAGCAGCGGAGAACATGGGCGAAACATGAAGACGGAGAAGAAATGTGTTGCACACAATGCATGACAGTGAGTTAAAAAGACTCTACACATTAGATCGTGCAGGAATCATGTTTGTGACTGATCTTATTAGAGACACGCTAACATCTCCGACACTGTGCAGAAATGGAAGTAATCACTACATTAACATATTTGGCAAATGGAAAAATGCAACAGTGATGATTTGGGTCTGTCACAACCTCCTATAAGCAAAGGGATCACACAAACAATTACAGCACTTTCAGAACCTTATTGTGTCGCTGTTCATTTCCTATAAAATACGTTAAGTATGAGAGCATGGTAAATAAAAAATAAAGAATATATATACATATATAGTGTGTGTGTGATATAGAGAGAGTATGGTAAAACAGGAAAAATTATGCCTGTAATTTAAAAGTGAAGGCTTATAATAGACCCTACTTATAAAAGCGCTCTTTTATTTCCTTCTTGGACAACCAACCAA